AGAGCAGCAGGGATGATGCAGAGAAGCTACAGGCAGTGGAAACAGGGACAGGGAATCACAGAAGTATTTATTTTGGCCAAGGAAGAAGTGACCTCTGGAGCAAACCCCAGCTCCCACAGATATTCCTCCCTGCCAGCTCGGCTGACGCAGTCCAGAGCTGGGAGCTGCATGCCTGAACCTCCCATGCACACGTTCCTGGCTCGCTGGAGCCGCTGCACTCCGTGGATTACTTTCTCCATCACACCCCATTCCCAGGTTCTGTTGTGCCAGATCACCACAGGTGGAGGAACTACCTTTTTTTTTTTTTTTCAGTGTTTGCCAGTAAAACCCCTCTGCCTGTTCAGGGCAATGCATCCAGCACTCACTGCTTGGAGGGACAGTCAGGGACTTGCTCTGGCATGTCTCCCCATGGCCATCCCATCATACTAGCAGAGCCCTTTCCAAAGGCATTGATGCTGGCCCACAGCATCCTTCTGGAGCACAATGACACAAGCTCGTGACAGACCCCTCTCATGGTGGGCCATCATGTCATATCACCAGCTCATCCCCCTGACACCATCCAGCTCACCCCAATACCTCCCAAATTCAGGCTGCACGGGAACACCTTTGCTTGGTGCTGATGCACATCCCACTGGCATGTCATATCACCAGCTCATCCCCCTGACACCATCCAGCTCACCCCAATATTCAGGCTGCACGGGAACACCTTTGCCTGGTGCTGATGCACATCCCAATGGCACGAGGAGGGACAGGGTCTCCTCAGAGCACAGCAGTGGGAATTCATCCCTTGCCATGATTTGTACGTTTTCTTCTGCCTGTTCCCTGGTTCCAGGCCTTGGACACACCAGTTATTGCCATTCCCTGAAACAAGACATTCCCTGACCTCCTTTTCCCTCATCACTAATTCACACCGAGCAGGTTTCAGCTCAGCTCATGCATGAACTCCACGCTGGCACCACTTAATGGCTAAAGAACGAATTCTGACAAAGCTCATTAAAAAAGAAAGCCACTGATGTCAGCAACATGCCTTAAATCTGACCCTCAGCTCCAGGCAGGTCTGCCAAGAAATCAAATCATCCTGCTGGAAATATAAAGGGAGAGCAGAAAACGATCAGCACGGTTTGGAAGGAACCTCGTTTGTTTTTTACAGATGTGAAGCAGATCGAAGACACAGGTGAGTGACACCAACCAATTTGACTGTTCAAACAATTAAAACCCACCTTACAGATTTACAAATGGGCTCTCAAGACAATTCCAGATGCACTGATGGGCCGGCTTTAGGGAATTTATGCACAGCTCACCTCAAAACACAGGGAGCCAAAATCCCAGGAATGCTCCTGGTGCTGTTTTGGTTGTAACAGACACAGACATGTCAGCACAGGAAGACCGAGCTGGCAGAAGGGCTGGGACTGAGGTATGAAAACAAAATTCTCTGGCAGGGTTCATTTTTATTTTTTCCTTAGGAAAACAAGATCCTCACATTAAAAGGAGGATCAGTCACAGAAGGGGGATGAAAAGGCACTGTTGAAAATTTAATTACATCCCCAGATACATGTCCAGCCCTAGAAAGTTCCGAATTAGACATTCCTAACAATGTTTTTAAACAACTACAGGGTATTAATTACAGTAAAATCTACCAACCCTTTTCCCTCTTTGTCTGGAAACCTTTGGAAGCGTTTTCCATTAGGCAACACTTTTAAGCAGAGCCAGCTGTGCAGCACTCCTGCAGGTACTGCCTGTGTGATGTGGAGCCCATTACACACCCCAGTGCTGCCTGCACTCCGCTGCAGGGAGGCACACATGCAGCACTGCCTGGGGGAACAGACACAGGGAAAGGCTGCAAACATCCCAGGGCTTCCCTGGTGCAGCCCCCTCTGCAGCTGCGCTCTCGCCCTTATCTCAATGGCCACAAGAGCCACTGTGAGAAGAGCCTGGAGCAAATGTCAGAGGCACAGCCTGTCCTGCAGGAGCCCCCTTGCCTCCAAACATCTGGGCAGTGTCTCTGCTGCCAGCCCTGTGCTCAAGCAGGCTGTGACCCAGTGATCTCGCCTTGGCCTCGCCTCTCTCCCTTCCAGGAGCTTCTGTCCTGGTGGCAGGCAGCTCTGAGAGGCTAAAGCCACCAGCCCAGCCCACCAGTGTCACCAGCTCCAGGCACAGAGGGGCTCTGAGTCTCCATTCCCCTAGCTGGGGAAAAGTCGATCACTTCTTTCCACAGTTTGTCCTCGTGGAAAGTATTTTTAGGAGCTACACGGTCCACATTTAATCACAACAATTAAGGAAATGCTCAATTAGTGTTTGCAAGCTTCTAAAACAGAGAGGTTGCAGACTGCATCTGTTTTGCATCTAGAATTTGGGACAGTCAACCCCAGAACCCAGCGTGGCAGAGTAAAGCTGTTTGGAGGTGTCTGTCCTTCATCAGACTGGCTGTGGCAAAAAGAAACTGTCCAAAAACACGGTGCAACAGCTTTTCTCACTGCCAAAATCCTGGCAGGGCGATAAAACCTGGGGAGAGCAGGAAGGCCCCGAGGCACAGAGGGAATGGAGCAGTGCAGGACCTTGCAGGGCAGGGGAAGAGAGAGCCAGGAGCACTGCGGGCAGTGTGGCCAGGTGGCAGTGACAAGGGACAGGACAGGCAGGACCTGAGCCCAAACAAGTGGTTTTTGCTCTGTGAAATACCTGCCTGCCCGGGGGCATGGGAGCTCAGGGGCAGCCCAGAATATCCCACAGCAGCTCCATGCAGGGAACAGCCTCACATGGGCAAGAATGGCAAATAAAGAAGCTGCTGGCCTCTGCTGGCACTGGCACTGCAGTGACCCCACAGCCTGGCTGCCAGGCCCAGCCTCATGTGGCAGCTCTGCCACCCCAAATCCGTGGCACAAGGGCATGTCTCGATGCCAAACCCCAGGGAGAGCAGGAATGATGAGCCAAATTTTCCCAGCAGGGGTGTTGGTACTCTCCCCTCCGCACTCAGGGGACACTGAGGCACAGAGCCAGCAACATGATGGGTGCTCCCAGGGTTTGGCACTGAGACAGGGGCTATTTCTTGAGGGCAATGCCCCTCTTTGTCCTCCAGCCTCATGGCTTGTCAGGACACCTCTCATGGGCACAGACCCCTAAAACAGCAGTGGCAAAGCACCAGAGAGCTGTAAGCAGCACCCGACACCTTGTGCTTCACACACTCTCCTCCTCAGCGCAGATGGGGACACGGAGGGACACGCAATAAAAAATAAAAACCCTTCCCAGGGAGATGCAAAAATAATACTATGTACATTCCAGCTTGCCAAACAACAATCGCCTGAGAAGCCGGCACTGTGGGAAAGTCTCAGTTCGCTTTTCCTGGGCATTATAAATAGAATCAGGGCTTCAAGCAGGGCTGGAAATGCGAAGGAAGGGGGAAAAGGCCATTTAATGGGCTCTGTTTGAACTTGGGCCCTGGCTGATGTCCAGCTTTCTGCAGAACATCTGGTCCTTTCCTGCCGAGCAAGGGGCAGCGCCACTGCACTGGGAACTGGGAAGCGCCAGCGCAGGGATGCTTCAGACCCCAGAGCCCCTGGGCCTCCTGGGGCATCACACCTCAGGCATGTGTCACTGGGGAGCTGCCTCTGCCATGCCAGGTGTGAGATCAGATGGTCAGGGTGAGATCCTGCAGGACTCCAGCCCTGGGGGCTGGGCTGGCATCCACAGGGACTCCAGAGCTTCTCTTCCAGAGGGCTGCTCAGCCCCTGACCCCATGGGAAGGCTCAGCACCCACCTCTTGCAGGGCTGAAGCCCACACGTTCTTCCATCTGCCTGGTTCTCCAGGAGCCTCATCTTTGGCTGTGTGACTTCTTTTCTCTCATGGACACATTGCTCACCAAAAGCCCCTGTCATGAGCAGCCCCACATTCTGTTATCCATGTGTGCATTCTTCACGCTGGCTCCTACTTACCTGTTGTATCCCAGGCCACATTTTATGCACCAGCCACATACTTTAAGCAGGATATAGAATCATCATGTCAGGAGATGGTTTGGGTTGGAAAGGACCTTAAATCCCATCTAGTTGCAACCCCTCTGCCAAGGGCAGGGACACCTTCCACTATCCCAGGTTGATCCAAGCCCTGTCCAGCCTGGCATTGGACACTGATAGGGATGGGGTAGCCACAGCTTCTCTGGGCAACCTGGGTGCCAGGGCCTGCTCACACTCACAGGGAAGAATATCTTCCCAATCTCTTACCTCTGCACCTGTGGCTTCTTCTGTGTGGCTCCACTACGCATTCCTCAGCCCTGTTCCCCAGCCTCTCCTCCGGCCACCTCTGCCCCTGCTCCGGCCTGGGCCTTGTCACTGCGTGAGACCTGTCCCACAGGGGTGCTGGGGAGGACCGGGACCCCGAGGAGGGCGGGGAGCCTGAGGGGAAAACTGGGACCCTGGGGAGAACCAGACTGTGAGGAGACCCTGGAGCCTGAGGGGAACAACCGGGATTCTGTGGATGAGCAGGAGCCTGGGGAGATCTGGGACCCTGTGCAGAGCCGAGAGCCTGAGGGGAAAAGCGGGATCCTGTGGATGAACGGGACCCTGGGGAGAGCCGGGACCCTGTGGATGAGCAGGAGCCTGAGGGCAGAGCCGGGCTCCTGTGGCTGAGCGGGACCCTGGGGAGAGCCGGACCCTGTGGATGAGCAGGAGCCTGGGGGGATCTGGGACCCTGAGGGGAGGGCCAGGACCCTGTGGATGCCCGGGACCCCGTGGATGCCCGGGAGCCCGAGGGCAGAGCCGAGCCCCTGAGGGCAGAGCCGGGGCTCTCACGCGCGCTCCCGTCAGCCCCTCCAGGGACGCAGCGCGCGCGCGCGGCTCGGTGACGTCACGGGCGCGGGGCGGTACGAGGCGGGGGCGCGGCCGGGCGCGCGCCTTTGTTTTGGGCGGCGGGTTCCCAGGCGGCCCGCGCGCCGCGGGGCGGGGCCGGG